AGATAAAGGGGAAAACCCTAACCTCTACATCCTGGTTCATACAGTCTAAATATACAGTTTGCAAAAAACAAGAATAAAGGACTGCTTTCTATCATCTTGTGCACATGTTAATTATTATTTGTATATCAAAATGAGTCAGTCCTGAGTTATAGTTTGCTTAGCTCTATAGTTTCTAGAAAATCCCGATGTTACTTAAAGGTTTCGAGTTCACTATCAAACCCAATTGCTCCCTCACCAACAGCTGTCCCCAGAGGAGGAAAGCTACGTCAAAGTTTCCTCGTGTTTTTCCAGTTTCTTTTCCCAGTTTCTTTAGAGCAGGTTTTTTTGTATCACTTCTTTTGCCTGCTCTGAACACAGTTTCTTTAGAGCAGGTTTGTTGGGGTGTTGGAAAAAGGTCAAATCCCCAGAGTTTAAGCCATCTTTGTGTTCCACCACTCCTGTGCATGACAGGTATTTTAAAGGTTAGCATCTGACCGTCAAAAGAGCATTGGATTTACCTGCTCTGTACATTTCAGTTCAGACGTGGCCTCCATCCGGTATTACTCGTAAGATCTTCATGCTGTTATATGTGTGCCTGCTCAGAAATGTACTCTTTACATAGCTGACAGTACATTTTCTCCTGCATCCACTAAGATATGCATCATACTACCATGGCCCTTAGTACTGTAACATGATGAAAACACATTTGGGAGAAGGATGCAAATCGATCAAAATCAGCTGTCCGTATTTTTATAATCAAGCTACTTTTTTCCTGTTGTGGAAACACTAAGAAATACTGCAGATTATCCTTCAAGCTACTGTCACTTAATCCACACTGACATTTGAGATATGCTGACATTATGTGTTTGATTTAGAGCCATTGAATAAAAGCCAGATGTAGCTGATGTTAACGTAATGATATTCTACAGAATTATCTGGTCATTAATGTTTTTTATAACAGCCAAAAGCCGCTGTCTAAATCCTCAAAAGGTGGAAATCTGATCTTGAACTATTTCCAAAATGCTGGTTTAATGTGAAACATCCTGATGAGCAGAAAACATCTGTTTCTGTATTCAGATCACTGTCAGCAATGAAAACAATATTTTCTTCATACATTTTCAATAGCATGAAGATCTCAAGTTATTCCCAGAATTAGACCAATGTTGTCTGTACATGACAGACGAAGTTATCCATTCCTCTTTCTGTCAGCAACATGCAAATATTTCAAATGAACAGTGCTTTTACCACCAAAGCTGGTGTAACATCAAGTCAAACTTGTTCTCCGAGCAACAAGTCTGTTATCTCTGGTTCAGTGGAAACACAGTTTGATTCCAGACATGTAGACATCTTCCCTTTCCATTTTATTCACACATTGCACAAACCATATTTTAGTTGCAGGCTATAACACTTTGAATCCTTCTGAAGTGTATGGCTTGAAGAAATACTTCCTAAATGAACATCTGTAGATCAGTTGTGCTACATTGAATTGATGAAGAAAACTGTTTTTCTCACGTACCTCAACGGTGAACACAGAATCCAAAAAAACGTGAAAAGTCTTGATGAATTGAAGAAAATGGGGGCAGCGTTTTACAGCAAAACATTATCAAAACAACCGTTTACAAGCCTCTACACAAGTCTCATGTATCCAGTCGTTGGTTAATTATTTCCCTTACCCATGCTTTATAGGTTTAATTTCATTAAACATCTACTTTTAAAACACTTCCACATAAGAGTGAGTCATCTTTATTCAGAAGTGATTTTGGTTTTGGTGAAAAAGCATGTGTTTCGAAGGGAGTGAGCATACTGTACGATTGGATACATGAGACTTTGATTATTCAGCACAAGTAGTGGGTGAGTTTGTAAGAGTTGTGAAAGAAGGACCCATTTACTTTAATTCATCAAGACTTTTATCTGTTTTGAATTCTTCGTTCAACAAGGAATTTAGTGAGAACATCTTTAGAAATTCAAGCTAACACAGATTGAGTAATTTATAGAAAAATAATAATTTGAGGTGTGAAATATCCCTTTAATTAAGAACCAGTAGTATTTCCCTCAGTCGGGCCAGAGAGGTGTTTCCTGCTGGCTTCCGAGTGCTGTGTTCACTTGGAGTATATTAGCATTAGCGTACACACACACACACACACACACACAGGAGAAGGGGAAAAAGCAGGCCCCGTCTGTACCGCCCTGAAAGGGAAACGAACATCTGGAAGTGGAAGCCTTTTAACTGCGGGGCTGCAGGGGTAGGATGGGGATCCCAGAGGAAAGTTGCTCAATATAAAACCACACATGCTAACAGCCTCTCTCTTACTTCTCTGTGAATTCTTGCTTACTTTCTAAATGTCTTTTTTGTTTTCCAATACCTGCAAAGATTTAGAAATGAAACCGCTTTAATATATGATAACAGTGAGTGTTCACCACCCACCTGTGCTCCTTTCATGTAAGTCAGTTGACAAATAAAAACAACTCTGTGTCCAGGTTGTCACTATCAGAATGAGAATTCCTTTATTAGTCCTGCAGCGGTGACATTTGCAGTGTTACAGCAGAGGTGAATTGGCAGATAAAAGTGTGTGTAGATTGTTCTGTGGGGGGTGGGGTGGGCGAGTTAGCCACCAGAGGAGAGATAGCGCCTGTTTCCATCAGGAGGTCTGCAGTGTGTCCGCAACACTGATTGGTGGAGCTGTGCTTTAAGCAGGAAAGGACACAGGGACACATCCTGGCTTTTCATTTCCTCACACACACACACACACACACACACACACACACACACACACACACACACACACACACACACACACACACACACACACACACACACACACACACACACACACACACAGTTATTATAGGAAGGCATAGGCACACAGAGAGTTGACAGGCTCGCTCACTTCCCAGCATCTAAAAGCTGTTGTAACATTTAGTCAGAATGGACTCTCCCTGGATTCTTCTGCACATTACTCACCCTTTTAAACTAGATTACAAAAAACAGAAAATCCCAAAGAGTGAAATGTAATCAAGCTGAAAGGAACTTGAGGAGAAACACAACCACAGAGTGAGAGCAGTGTGTGTGTGTGCTGCTCGTTCCGGTGAGTTTACACACAGCAGTGTCCCTGGTTCTCTGTGTTAATGGGTTTGTTGTTTCAGAAGAACTCATCCTCTCTCACTCCTCTCTGCTCTGCGGGAGACATTTAAAATAAGTCGATACATGATGTGTGAAAACGCTGATGATAGGTGTGGTATTGACCCAGTAATGTGGTTTTAAACACACACACACACACACACACACTATACTATACTCTGCTTTTGCTGCCTCGCCAACCAAAGTGCTAAATACTGCATTTAAAACAGCTGCGTTAAGACATGGCAATCAACATCCGCGACGTTTACACAAAAACATGCCACAAAATGTGTCATGTGTCTTCAAGGGTATTCCGGTAAAGCCTTTGACATTACTAAATTGTTTTAAATAACTACTGAAATCTGCATAATCCAAGAAATGATAACCAAAAACACTTGATTCAAGGCAAGGCAAGTTTATTTATATAGGCAAGGCAAGTTTATTTATACAGCACCTTTCCGCACACGGCAACCCAAAGTGCTTTACAAAATAAGATAAAAGACATTTAAGAACAAATACAGAGGAATCACATTATAAAAAGGCATTTAAAAAGCAAAGATAGTCAAATCAACACAACAGGTATAACATACATGGATAAAAGCCAAACTGCAGTTTGAATTAAAACAACTCATCCAAATGCTGCGTCGAAAAGAAAAGTTTTTAATCTGGATTTAAAAATATCAACAGTTGCAGCTGACCTGCAGGATTCAGGCAGTTTGCTCCAGATGGTTGGGGCATAAAAAGGAAATGCTGTTTCTCCTTGTTTAGTTCTGAGTCTTGCAGCAGAGAGCAGACCCGTCAGAAGACCTGAGACTCCTGGGTGGTTAAGAGAAACTAGATAGATAGATAGATAGATAGATAGATAGATGGATTTAGACTTTATTGATCCCAATTTGGGACATGTTTGCGTTGCAGCAGCATAAAAAACAAGGCAATGTACATAAGAGAAATTAAGACACCTGACCCTCTCTGTCTTCCTCTCCTGCTGGTTCCCTGACCCTCTCTCTTCCTCTCCTGCTGGTTCCCTGACCCTCTCTCTCTTCCTCCCCTGCTGGTTCCCTGACCCTCTCTCTCTCTTCCTCTCCTGCTGGTTCCCTGACCCTCTCTCTCTTCCTCCCCTGCTGGTTCCCTGACCCTCTCTCTCTCTTCCTCTCCTGCTGGTTCCCTGACCCTCTCTCTCTTCCTCTCCTGCTGGTTCCCTGACCCTCTCTCTCTTCCTCTCCTGCTGGTTCCCTGACCCCCTCTCTCTTCCTCTCCTGTTGGTTCCCTAACCCTCTCTCTCTTCCTCTCCTGCTGGTTCCCTGACCCTCTCTGTCTTCCTCTCCTCCTGGTTCCCTGACCCTCTCTGTCTTCCTCTCCTGCTGGTTCCCTGACCCTCTCTGTCTTCCTCTCCTCCTGGTTCCCTGACCCTCTCTCTTCCTCTCCTGCTGGTTCCCTGACCCTCTCTCTCTTCCTCTCCTGCTGGTTCCCTGACCCTCTCTCTCTTCCTCTCCTGCTGGTTCCCTGACCCTCTCTCTCTTCCTCTCCTGCTGGTTCCCTGACCCCCTCTCTCTTCCTCTCCTGTTGGTTCCCTAACCCTCTCTCTCTTCCTCTCCTGCTGGTTCCCTGACCCTCTCTCTCTTCCTCTCCTGCTGGTTCCCTGACCCTCTCTGTCTTCCTCTCCTGCTGGTTCCCTGACCCTTTCTCTCTTCCTCTCCTCCTGGTTCCCTGACCCTCTCTCTCTTCCTCTCCTGCTGGTTCCCTGACCCTCTCTCTCTTCCTCTCCTGCTGGTTCCCTGACCCTTTCTCTCTTCCTCTCCTGCTGGTTCCCTGACCCTTTCTCTCTTCCTCTCCTGCTGGTTCCCTGACCCTCTCTGTCTTCCTCTCCTGCTGGTTCCCTGACCCTCTCTTTTCCTCTCCTCAGATCCTGCCCTACGAGAGGATCTTGGGCCGCGGCCTGCCGGACAGCGTGGCCGACTGCCTGAACAAGCTGGTGGTGGTGAAGCTGAACGGAGGCCTGGGGACCAGCATGGGCTGCAAGGGCCCCAAGAGCCTGATCAGCGTCCGCAACGAGAACACCTTCCTGGACCTCACCGTGCAGCAGATAGAGGTACAGAACCAGCGATACCTGGCTCTAAGGCCTTGGAGATTAGAGGCACTTATTTGTTGGATTGACCGTGTTTGGGATTGTTGAAAATAGAGATTTTTTTGCAGTAAATGCCGTAAAACTTTAATAGGCAGCAGAGAAAGGACCTGATTGTTGCTATCAGTCATTTTGTAAGATGTTTTCATGGGTGAGCATCATATATTTTTACAGATTGGTGTGAAAATAATCCACCATATCAGCGTTTTAACGGTAATAACATGTTGCTGTTGTAGTTTACAGCTTGTCGTGATGGCTCTTATTTGCCAAGCAACCATTCAGAGCAGATTTAAAATTAACTACATGGAGTTGTAACTTGCTTTTTGCATTTAGAAGACATTAAAGGTAGGGTAGGTAAGTTTGAGAAACCGGCTCGAGATCGCTAGAATTTGAAAATACACAACCGGAGAAAATCTGCCACTTCCTTATAGAGCCCCTCCTCCAACACACACGAACGTGCACATGACCAATGAGGGCACGAGATAAGTTTGTGCACAGATGGAAGGCTGACAGGCAGGTAGGCCATCCAGTTATTTTAGCCGGGCCGGCTAAAATGATTGGTCGTGCTTTTTACAGTACTACAGCTTCCACAGATGACATTTTTTTATGGATTTTTTGTCAAAGCACTTAAGATATTCATTGCTATCGGGATGTTAAGAGCATTCCATGGAATATAACAAAAAGTGTATCTCGAGCCGGTTTCTCAAACTTACCTACCCCACCTTTAATGAAACACTTCCAGTTGGCCAATTTGGCACATTTTGCATAAACAAGTAGGTGATCGAGGCATTTCAAAGTGTAAGAATAAGTAACCACGAG